GTTCCTAATACGAGTGACGCAGTCAGGGGCTGAGCACAGTTTTCTAGGGGCCAGTAGCTGATCTTGAAGCTGGGAATGGGGTTTTAATTTTTTGGGACTGGGCCTGGGGGGACTTTGTTTCACGGGGACGCTTACTTGGTCTCTGAAATGCCATTTACTGGACTTTGGGGTCTGGGGAAAGGTTTTGCAGAATTCTGATGGTCAGAAAATATTTACAACATGAGTAAAATACGTTTTAATTTCTACTGGGATTAAATATGTAACAAGTAAAAGAATTCGAAAAGAAACCATACAATGTCAATGGATTTGAAAGATCAAAAATCAAAAGATGTGAAAATTCCGACCTGAATAGGTTTTAAGTCCTAGGTTTATTTAGGCAACACGTTAGCCCCTGTTTTAACCAGATTATACGGGGATTTTTTAATTTATTAGTTTTTCAAACACACTTAGTGTGTATATATTTATGGTAAGCGCCAAGACTGGTAGGCCTAAGTATTAGCACCAATGTCGTGTATTTGTTAATAATTGTATTTTCGATTATTATTATCAATTGCTTTCAATTCACCGAGTTGTTTGGGGGCAATCAAGTGAAGATTAATATAATAGTTTGCCTTCTAGTCGGCAAAATAAAGTATTCGAAATACGATGACTATAACCTAATAATTAAACATGCGATGAATTTGTATTGAAGTGGCGGTCTAGTTTTCAAAATTTTAGCACACAGGTCTCCGATAAAGAAAGCGTTTTACGCCTTCGACACACCGGAAGCACTGCCTTCTCAGACGCGGCCCTGTGGACTCGAAAAGAGAATTTTTTTGGCATTCTACTTATATCAGGTGGGCATAGAGTGGGAATTCGGTTGCAAGAGCACACGCATTTTAAAGAAAAGGGAAAAAAATAACACTTTCAAGTTGCTGTACTTACGGCCTGGAATAGCAGAAAAACGCATTTTTACAAAAAGCTCGTGCGCCTATGATACTGTTCGGAAATACGTTAAACATTAAGAGTATTACATGAATAATTATTAGTATACATATATGTAACGTCTAGGGTATCTTTTAAAAATACGTGAGTTGTTTTTTTTAAAATACAGAACCACAGCTTGATCCGTCGTATATTAGACGAACATTGATCATTGTGTTTTGGTTCCAAAAAACATTTATCAGCAGTAGTGTGAAAGATTAAGAGAAGTCTGATCTCGATTACAATACAATTTTCAAATCGATTATAGAAAAGACAACTGGTTTATTTTTTAATAAGAAGTGGATTATGTAGCTGGTTTATATTTTAATAAAATAAGATGTTTTGTATGTAAGGTACACATGTTGTTCATAATAACATAGCTTTATGGATTAACCATTTATTTTATTACATGAAACGATTTGATACTCTTGATTCATCAACACGTATTGAGTTCCGAATAAACACCTGGTGCATTTGTGATGACTTTTAGTGAATGAAACATACACCAAAGTAATATCATGTGATGTCTAGGCTATTACAACACACAATGTATGCTAGATGTCCCCCCCCCCCACACACACACACACTCATTCACGCATTGATGGTTCGTTTCGTGGAAATTGAGCACGACGTTTGAAACCGTATTACTATGAAACATCATCATTTTTTACAGATCAAAATGTAATGAGAGACTGCGGAAACAAGCCATGAGTATGAGAGAGGAAAGACGATTGGCAATGTGGCAAGAGGTGTATAGATCAGAGATTTATATGATTTTCATGAAAACATAGCATTTTTTCAAAAGTTTCCACGAAAAGTGGTCCGCGACCCCAGCTGGGATCTGTTACTGATTGTAAGACACCCAATAGGAGGTTAAACACCATTTCATTTCATTTTGTACGACACACCGTGTATATATGGGCGGATCCAGGTATTTTTGCAGGAACTAGGGTTTTGCCAGGATCCCGTTAAGGAATTTCATTGATGCAAACACAATTAAAATTGTGACATCACACATGTCTATATCATTATTTCTCGCTTTATGTAGCTGAGCAGGGTGGGATTTGCCCCCCCCCCCTCCCGATCCGTCCATGTTATTTGTTACTGACTTTAAAAGTTTTATGTAGCAGATGGTAAGACACTGCAACTATTACTAATACCCAAACCATGTTTCTTTTACTCTATGCATGTCCCTGTTACTGGGGGCTTAACACGGTATGTATCTAGTACTGATTTACGGCGCCCTGTATCTCCATTACTGTAAAACAACATGTTTTGTGACTGATTTTAAGACACGGGATGTATCTCTTGACTGTCAGACCCAAAACATGATTTTTTTTTTTTTGATTTTTTTTTAACTGATTGTAAGACACTCGATGTATCTGTTACAGAATGTATCTATTACACATTTAAGACGCGGTGTGTTTGCGTTACTGTAAAACACCATGTTTTTATATATATATATATATATATATATATATACTGTTTCTGACCGCAAGTCACGATATGTATCTTATACTGTTTCTGACCGCAAGTCACGATATGTATCTATTTTACGACATCATTATTGAAAGACACCACTTATGTTACTGAATGCAAGATACCCCGTGTATTTGTTTGGTGTTGACTGTTAAACAGGGCCGCTGTCTGTTACTGATGGTACGACGTGACAACTGTATCTCTTACTAACAGTTTATTATATTACTGCATGGTTTTTCTCTCGATTGGTAGGGTTACGTATGTAGCCGAACATGTGTTATTTTTTTCTAACCAACTGTAAGACACAAGGCATACATACAGTATTACTGACTGTGAGCCAAATGGATCTGTTACCGAGGGCGAACACGAATGCAATCAATGACAACTGCGATTTTTTGTGTGAATCATTGTTCGTACTGACAGCGGCAATAAGCACGGAAATTTGCCCTTTGACCATGTACACTGATTGACTAATCAAAATCGTCCCCGCGAACTGTTCCGAAAAATACGGTCTGGGGACAATCTTCGCGGATTTCGACACGAATAAAAATCCGGCATGTATCTGTTACCTGTTAGACACGATGTGTATCTGTTTTAGACCGTAAAACAGGACACTCAAATTAATATCATCCTTAGATATATCATTAAAAACCGCAGATCAGATGGTTTGGACTGACACTGGGATATCTGTCTAGGTGAGACAGTGCCGGATTTACATATAGGCTTGGCAGGCTGAAACCTAGGACCACCAGATCCAGGGGTCCTTCAACCAATTTTGGACACTGCAATACGTCTTTCTTACACATGTAGGGGTGGGGGGTGGATGGCGGAATGGTTTGCACGTGCGTGCTGTATCATACGGTCTGTCATTGAGTCAACTGGCGGGGTTTCGATTCCCCGGTTGTACGTGATCAGGAGTCGGACGTGCGGCTTTTGACCCTATGACGCCAGACATTGATTAATCAAACAACGTTGGCGTTTCTAGTGGTTTACCCACAGTTCCGTTCATGGCACGCCAAGAAGTAGCCGTAACAGACTGTTTTATTGGCTTATCCCTTACTTAACCAAAACGCCTGTGTTTTGTTTAATCAGATTGAATTTTATTGTGTCTAAAACACACTCTCATCTTCCTCTAGTCGTGAGGGTCAGGGATTGGGAGAGGTATCATAAGTACATTAGCCTCTCTTCATCTAAACCCGACACCTAGATAGATATATATATCACAAATATATGAAGCTGGAATTGGCATTTCCTGCTGGGTGGAATCTGTCCGCGGGGTTCTTTACTGAGCAAAATAAATTATAATGTTGTACTGACTTTGCTGCATTCCATTGACCATCAGTTGAAATAATTCGAAATTCGAAAATCAATTTTATATTTTGTGGCTTTAGTTTTCATTTCATAACCGCGATTGTTATTTGTCAGATGGTGGGATGGGATGGACATTCAAAGGCGAGATAATGATATAGACATATTATATTATGTGATATCACAATTAATGCTTTGCATCAATGAAATTTAATCAAAATGTCATTCTATTAATTCATAATAAAATATGGCGTCAAATGGGGTGCTAGATTTCTCGCTTTAAAAAGCTCTGTGTGTATCTATGCCTCTGAAGACGATGATGGCATCATGCAACTATCAGATTTCCTTAACAGGAACCTGGCAAAAATTCCTGGACCCGCCTCTGTGTGATATTAATGAATAAATCTAGGAAGCAATATATCAGTTATGTCATGTATTTTAATTTTTCGCATGTATAGAATATGATAGGGTTTATGTATATCTTGACATTTCAGCAATAAAGACATTATAATTTATGTCATACATGCGCACGAACTTAACCTAATTCGTAATAAAAGCGGAGTTCCGAAGAGCTGGAAGTTCATGTCACCTTAGTTGAAAATAGATCAAAATAGTTGATGTTTTGAAGGGTGGTATATACCACTTAACTCTACAAATGTAAATATGCTGGGAGCCACGGTAGCTAAGTGGGTAGTCGCTAGCCGTGAGGTCGCGTGTTTGATCTCTGCATTGGCCGAGAAAGTTCATCGGAATTTTCCGACATGGTTTCCCCTGTCAGTGGTACAGCGGTGGGTCTGACAAGGACAGATTATAGTCGTTCGGATAGTAAAAAAAAACCGAGGTCCCGTGTATACATTGGCGTGCACGTAAAAGATCCCTTGGCAGTTAGCATTCGATATAGGGAGTAGACCGTAGTGCAGAAGCCCGGGCAAAATTTCCCTCATCGTAGTATGTCCGTCTTCATTAGCCCAGCCGGAGCAGAACAGTAGGACGTTAAACCCCATTTCATTTCTTTCATTTCATTTCATTTCATTTCCAAATATGCTGATAGAGTAAGCATACCGCCTTGTTGTACACAATACATGTCATGTATGGTACTTGGTAGGCTATCATCTCTTTCCTCGAGACACGCGCAGGGTCCAATAATAAGGTTTCTTATCTAGGTCAAATTCTACCAAATACTAGCTTCGCAATGTATTATTATTGACGTTTACCCAGTTAATGACAGCCCAGTATGATCTATCAAAATTGTAATACTTGATTTTCTATACGTTAGTGTCAATGCCCTGCCAATACTGACCGAAGACGTTGTGCCTAGTCCATGTCCAATAATTACACGACCTGCTTAGAGTGATATAAAAAAAATGGCGTTTGTCGAAAATGCTCACTTCTCGGAAGATGCATCAGAAAGCTGTGACAAAGTAAGTATCATACACAATCGTAGCTTTTGTTATTTATTTGGCTATTCAATTTTCTAGCTATTCTGTACACTTTCGAATGAGAGGCTGGAATATCTACGAAGTTGTTTAGAATAGGAGTCATCGACCGACCACACTAACAGCAAGTTCTGTGTTACGTAAAAATAGACTGTCGGCCTGTAACAAACAACACATTCGACTCGAGAGAGTGATAATTGAAATATCGGTTAAAAAAAAGAGGTTTAATAAATTACTACTCTGTTGATACATTTACTAAATAAATTTATATTTAGTAATTTTGAGTACCGTATATATTATAAATAATAATATGGTGGAAAACGGAAAAATTTCAGCCGTTGCTAAGGAAGCTAAAAATATCCGAATACGGAACAGGCTATCAATCAATACGAAAAGTTCTCCTGAAAATACTCAAATAGATTAATACATGCAGTTTTGCTTCTATTAGTTCTATAAATCGGAGATTCTGTATACTGTTTCGAAAAAAAATAAATTTTCATAGGCTAGGCCATAGGCAAAATTTCCCTCATAGCACACTATATGGAAAGCCCGTTTTCATTAGCCCAGTTCGGAGCAGTAGGACGTTAAACCCCATTTTATTTCATTTCAGTATAGGCCTACCGTATGTTTGAATGTTTTGACAAGATTTATTTAGCCTAAATTACAATGTTTTGAGAAGGATTTGAAGCAAAATATTATGACAAATTAATTAGTTTGAATATGTGTTTAGTCCTATTATAATACCATAAATCACCCAGTTTGTACACAGGAATGTATCTTTAAATAGGCATAGGTACATGTACTATTGGATTGCTATGATAATATTAAACAAAGTCTCGGATACCGTACGTCCAATTAAATGGCATGGGTGCTAAATATTTAAGAAAAGATTTTTATTGACTCATCTTAAACAGGTAAACACAATATCAATATGCATTGCACATCGTCATAACATCACAACAATATTCATAAAATTTAGGTTACCGGTACAATAATTTACATACCTGTAATTAATTAAGAAATAGATAGATATGGTATATCAAGGTTGTGGACCCTCTAGAGACCACAGTTTTTATCCAATTTGGATGAAACTTTAAATATATGTTTTTATCATTAAGATCTTGGTTCCTTTTGATAATTATTAACATTAGTGTTACTTTGCTCTTATTTTTTGAAAAAAATTTCACAAGTTGATTTCCTTTATTTTGTTAATGTAGAATGGTAACGAACTGCTCTTTTCATTTTCTTTGTTTTATTTGTTTCGTTTGAATTTGATTTATCTGTTTAGTTTTTGATTGTTTAATTTTTGTTAATGAAGTTGATTCTTTTAAACTTCGTTTTTATTTTTGAACTCTACTTGGTGTAGGTGTTCATCAGGTAATACCTCGACTGAGTTCAATATTGAGATTAGCCGGTTGATTTGCTGGATATAAACCTTTGAATAATAGCGCCTAACAGGCAGCTGTGTTTAATTATGTTCTCCTGATTTTGATTGTTTCTGTGTGTTTGAAGTATATGTTTGTGATATGTGCTTAGAAACACTTCACGTGTAATGAAGCGCTATATAACTCGAATAATAATAATAATAATATTAATAGGCTAGGCTACACTCATGTCATTGCCATGGCCTTACCAGGGCAGAGGTAATTTATTTTTTTAATGATATTTGAATGTTATTGGTTTCTGCATCAAATAGGCATTATAATTAAATGAATTGCTGCCGTAGAAAATGAAGTTCAAACCTTTGAGTGACGTAACATTTTTGTTATAAAAAGGGAGACGACTCAAATTAATTACCATACTTGTACTGCGACTGTGTCTGTAGTCAGTTCATTTTTGATCCTGAACTTAGTTACTAGTTCATTACTTTTTTTTAACTATTTTGATCAAGAATCAACAGGCCTGACAAACATACCAGATACCTCGTCAGTCCAGGGGCGGATCCAGAGTGGCCCCCCCCCCCCCTGCTCAGCTACGTAAAAAGAATTGTAAGACAATACTTATGAGAAAAGTGGGATGGGATGGGCATTTAAAGATTCAAAGCCTTATTGCCCAGGCTGGCTAGACTACATATTTTTTTAAGCTGTACATGATTGGTTGAAATTTGAATTTATTTATTTCTGTTTTAATTTACACTATGTACAGTAAAGTCTAAAAACTCCCACCAGTATATAGATTTAAATCATGGAATTTATAAGTAGCAATCAGCACTTACGATGAAAGACTGATGTGCATAATGACAATATATTATTCCAACTTGAATAAATTTATCCCAACATTATACATGTTACATTAACTTAAACATACATTATGCAAGATCTAAATCTTTCTATTGCAGGTCTTTCTTTGGGCCTAAAATGTTATATAAACTATTAATTAGACATTAAATTACATGAAAAGACCTTAATCAGCTCTCAATGCCATCTTATGTGTTGGATTTTCATTGGATTTGAATCCATTTTGCTTTTCAACGCTCATTGATGATTTAATCCAAAAACGAATAATCAAGACCATGTTTCTTATTCTAGTGACTTTAGTAATGATGATCGAGGCTAGGCCTAAAATTCAAATGCTAATGCTAGTAATTTGACTGGAATTTTCAGCATATTCCCTTTACATTATCTAGTTTTTAACTATTATAGTATAGTGAGAACTGCCAGCTCTTTATCTAATCCATATAATGTCTTTAAATCACTGGATTAATGTACTTACTGCCATATATAAATACTGATTTTATTGTTACATGTAAGTAGATAAGCTTAATCTTTTGAGTTGAACTGATTTAATTGGCTAGTGCATGGATTATAGTCTTGTATACTGTTCCAATGGCTACATGTTGTGCTAAGCTTTCACACAGACTATATAAATATAAGTAATATTGATAAGCAGAACCAGTTTAATTGTTCTGACAGCCACTACCAGAGTTTGTTGTTTATGGTTACATCTGTCATATAGGGTGACTCAGTGAGTAAGATGTTGGCTTGCTAACGTGAAGGTCCTGTGTTTGATTCCTGTGTTGACCAAGAAAGTTCATTTGGATTTTCCGGTGTGGTTCTCCCTTGTTTGGATGGGATGAAATCGATGTCCTGTACATAAGCTTACATTGACATGCACGTAAAAGAACACTTGACAGTTGGAATTCGAAGTGTTGCTGTCCAGGCAAAATTTCCCTCATAACCCACTGTATTGCGTATGCCATCTTCATTAGGTCAGTCTTTGCAGAACAGTAGGACGTTAAACCCCCATTTCATTTCATTTATCAAATACCTTACTCCATGTTGAGATACTATCAATTTCCTCAAAAGTTAGATGTGCCTTTGCTGGAGCCAGAAATTTGAGCAGTTAAAGGACAAAACACAAGGGCCCTGGGGAAATAATTTCTTCCAAAAGAGCTTCTTAAGCTGGTTATCTCTTCAACCTTTTTTGTGTTTCCGATGTCGATGACAAAATAAATCTGTTGGGGTTTTTTCTATCCAGCTAATTTAAATATCTAAACTGAACGTCTTATTTCAGTATAAAATAATCTTTATTTGTCTACTTAAAGATACATTATGAAGAGCTAAATCTGTCTGTTGCAGGTCCTTGCTTCAAATGTTCTATAAATTATTAATGTTAATATTATTTAGATATTTATTCACATGACACACATATAATCTTTTCGCAAGGCCAATGCTTGGCTTAGATTTTTTTAATATTAGACCCTCTTGCCATTTAACAATTTAAATATAAAATGGGTAACTGATAATATTATTGTAGTAGTGGTACTAGACAATCGCTACTATATTGTCGAAATGTCTATGGGGCGCCGTTTGAAAATTAATTATTTAGCTTTTTATATAGCAAAAAACACTAGATTTAATTTAAATTTATATATATAGTTAAATATCGACTTTTGTGCAAATTTTTCACTTTTAATATCTAAACTAAAAATACAACAAAAACTCAATATTTAACATAATATATATAAATATTTCTTGATTTGTCTCTATTTTCATATTTAACATTTAGCATTGAATATTAAGACCAAAACAAGAGATTTGATGATATATAAATATTTAGCTAAATAATATATATTTAGCTAAATATTTATATATTTAGCTAAATATTTATATATTTAGCTAAATATTTATATATTTAGCTAAATATTTATATATTTAACTAAATAATTATATATTTAGCTAAATATATATATAGCTAAATATATTTAGTTAAATGTTTATATATTTAGTTAAATGTTTATATATTTAGCTAAATGTTTATATATTTAGCTAAATACTGATATATTTAGCTAAATGTTTATATATTTAGCTAAATGTTTATATATTTAGCTAAATGTTTATATATTTAGCTAAATGTTTATATATTTAGCTAAATGTTTATATATTTAGCTAAATGTTTATATATTTAGCTGAATGTTGTTTATATATACTATTCAAAAAAAGTAGGGGATATTTGATTTTTAAGTGTTATTAAAGTCACCTAATGAAACTGACGAAGAAACAAATGACAAAATGAAATGAAGTTCACATTCATCGATTTATTCCAAATGATCGTTAGACTAAGTAAGGCACAGACTGACCATTATAAGGGTAAAATGATACCCGGGGTCAAACAGCAAAGTTACCACAGCATCACAACCAAGTCAGTAACGGGTAAATCCTCCTCTGTTTGCCAAACAAGCATTGATCCGACGTGGCATACTCCTAATGAGACGTCTAAGGTCATTTTGGTCCAGATTTTCCCATTCCTGTTGCAACGCAGCAGCAAGTTCTTGGACATTGGCAGGACGTTGTTGACGTTGACGTAACCTCTGTCCAAGCATGTCCCAGACATGCTCGATGGGGGAGAGGTCGGGACTCAGTGCTGGCCAAGGTAATGTGGTGATGTTCTGTTGTTGGAGGTAACCTGTAACGATCCTGGCCCTGTGACATCTTGCGTTGTCATCCTGGAAGATGAAACGGCGGCCATGACGTCGTGCGAACGGCACAACATGGACTGCCAAGATGTTGTCCCGGTAGTACTGGCCTGTAACACGCCCTGCAACAACATGTAAAGCTGTTCTTCCAGCAACAGTGATGCCTCCCCACACCATAACAGAACCACCCCCAAATCGATCATGTCTGATGACGTTAACGTCTTGGAAGCGCTCGTTTCGACGACGCCACACCCTCCTACGTCTGTCCAAGAAATCAACAGTGAACCTTGACTCATCTGAAAACATCACATTGCTCCAGCGTCGATTATCCCAGTGTTGACGATCCCTACACCAACGACGTCTTGCCTGAATGTGATGATCTCTCAAACAAGGGATCACGCGAGGACGTCGGGCGCGAAGGTGACCCCTATGCAGTCGATTCCGAATCGTCTGGCCACTCACTCTCACACCAGTGTCTGTTTGAAGACGAGCGCTGATCTGATTTGCTGTGATGACACGATTTCTAAAGGCCAAGGTACGGATAAATCGATCCTGGGCTTGAGTTGTCGCCCTTGGTCGACCTGAGCGTGGTCTGTCCTGTACAGATTGTGTATCACGGTATCTGGACCATAGCCTGCTTATGACAGACTGAGAAACATTCATCATCCGCGCCACAACCGCCTGTGTTGTGCCGATCTGTAGCATGCCAAGGGCACGTAACCTTTCATTTTGGGTAAGCCGACGCATATCAAAATTTGTTTTCTGGTCACTAAAACAATTAAACTGATGTTTCCACCCTGGAATTCAATGCCACAATGACTGTAACATTCAAAGTCAGAGTCGTGCAAATCTTGGGTTGGACCCCCATGATGATCCCAAGCATCACCTGCATTCCATGCGGTAGCTATTGGTGCGTTTGGGCGTCACATGTAACTGGAAATGTTTCTTCTGTTAGGTTCTATAGTGACTTTTTTCGTAGTCATTTGCATATTTTAGTATTATGCCCCCAAAATCAAATATCCCCTACTTTTTTTGAATAGTATATTTAGTTAAATGTTGTTTATATATTTAGCTAAATGTTGTTTATATATTTAGCTAAATGTTGTTTATATATTTAGCTAAATGTTGTTTATATATGTAGCTAAATGTTGTTTATATATGTAGCTAAATATTTAAATTTAGATTTTGCAGTGATTTAGTATTTAGCATTTATACCTACGAAAAACAGCACATTTAGCTATATATTTAACTAAGCGATGTGAAATCAAGATATAACATTTAAAGTTTTTCATAGACTAAAAACTCGACTTTTAGCTACAATATTTTTTTATATTTACATATATGCCATTTTTGTTCTAATATTTATCTAAATATATATATTCGGTGTTAAATCTAATGTTTTTTGCTGTAAAAAAAATTAAATAATTATTTTACAAACGGCGCCCCATAAATGTCAAACACACATAACTTTGCTCTAATTAAAGTAATTTGACTGAAATTTGCAATATATTTTTTGAATATTACTGCAAGAAGTAAGAATGGCCAGTTATTTATCTAAAATCTTAAGATAATGCATCTAATAACAGACTGATAATTAATTACGTAACATCACAATCTTTATTACGTTATATTTTATTGCATCATTCAATGATTATCAATTACAGCACATTGATTACACCAATCTTGGACCAAGATTTAAGAAGCAACTGGAATATGCTTATGTGAGAGCTGGAATAGATGACAGAAAGAGGTGTTTCGAGTCATTGAATTCGGTTGATGTTGAGGACAGTAGGACCAGGAGACCTTATACAGCTATGCCTATTTTGGGTAATCTTATTAAATCGGTTCAGTTTGATAATATGGTTGATGATAAAGAAAAATAATGATAATATTGGTTAGAACTAAAGCATTTTTCAAAAGCTTTGTTTACTGAACATATTCTTCTTCTTTGGAGCTAGTTTAAACATGATACACACCCAAAAAATATTTTGTAGTACATAAGGCCATATAAGGATTGTCAAAAAATATTTTTTGTATGGCCTAATAATATAGCACATTGACAGCATTAAATGCTACTGCCCTGGTGAATACTGCATTGTATAGAAGTTTACCATCTGTAAGTCTTAAATTTCCCATTTCAGTGACAAATTGACAATTTTCTGAATAGATTCATTATAGTGGTTTTATGTATCTGCATATTATTAATTAAAGCATTGAAGTAAATATTAAAATTGTTTTCAAGAACGAACTGGTTCCTGCGGTGAGGATGGGTTTCAAGCACCTTATGCCACGACTTATAAAAAACAGTATTATCCAAAGAAATATCCTATTACCATAGCAACAAGGTGAGTATTTTGCTTTTGCTTTTGATTAACCTTAAGGATGTATAACATGTAAATACAGTATTAAACAATTGATAACAAGGTTTTTATCATTTTACATAAGATAATGGCAGTTACCTGAATTTAATTCTTGGAGTTCCCTTTCTTAAGCACTATCCTTAAAGGGGCATTCTTAGCAGGTCTTCACTGATTGCTCAAAAAAAATGATTTTCGATTTGGCTGCTGTTTAGGATTGTTCAAGTTAGATTCTGACAAGCCATCATTGACATATTTTTTGACTGTTAGTCAATTTACTATGAAAGGGTATCTTAATTTTCAAGAAGTTTAATAGTCGATGAACTTTTAGAATAGTTCACTGCTCAAAACAATTTTTTTGACTTCCAATTAAAGAATCTGACTTTTTATTCTTTCTATGGCTAAAGCTGAAAATGGTTGGAATGGCATCTGAGTTTGTTTTAACTTGCAGCCCCAACAATTCACCATGCAAGTAATGGTTGGAAAACACAACCCTGTTGCTGAACTTAAATTTGTTGACAGCAGTGTTCCGCAACCAAAGAATTGCTCTGTGTCTTACTGTTAATCTTTTGTGATGACATCTCACTAAGACTCTCTGTGTTATTCTTTTTTTAAGACCAATGACAACTGGGACAAATATAGCACCACCAGAAGCTAGGACTGAGAACACCCATTACGATTTCGAATATTCCAGAAAAATACCAAATCCCAATCATATTTATCGTACCGGCTCAGCATCAGGTACCAGGAATAACAAACCCCATCCATCAAAGGTCAGTATTTGAAAATCTGAATATTGGATTAAAACCCAAAGACTATGAAACCAAAATGAACAGAAAATGGACCCTTCTTGCTGAATCAGCATTGAAGAATTGGCAAAGAATGGCCAAAACCAGGATTAATTCTAAATTAATTATTTACATTTTATGGAATTACTTTTATGGAATGATTTTTTGTTTTTATTTAAAGGATTTCTTGATTTGGAGATTTCCAGGCAATACCAAACCATCACCAAGAGATTATATTAAAGAAAATGTGACGGATGCCAAATTAAATGAAATACATCGTCGTTTATGCCGATCTACATATCAGTCAGATTATCTTGGTATGCCACAAGGTAAATTATTCAGAACAAACTTTAAGCTTTCTTAGTTTTACAAATGAATACTGTGATTAAGTGTACACTGTCTGATTTGCAGTAGTAGTAAATTATAGGAAAGTCTTTGTGTATAATAATATAACCTTTCAAATGAGCGCTTGTGTTACTAAGTAACATGAGTAATCTCTAACTAAAGCTGGATGGGTGCTTGTATTACTTAGTAATATGTAAGTAATCTCTAACTAAAGTTGGATGAGCACTTACATATAAGTAATCTCTAACTAAAGTAGCATGAGCACTTGTGTTACTAAGTAACATGTGGTGAGTAATCTCTTACTAAAATTGCATGAGTGCTTGTGTTACTAAGTAGCAGGTGAGTAATCTCTAGTAAAAATTGGATGAGCACTTGTGTTTGTAAGTAACATGAATAAACTCTAATTAAAACTGGATGAGTGCTTGAGGTACTAAGTAACATGTAAGTAATCTCTAACTACATTTGCATGAGTGCTTGTATCTCTAATCTTAAATGAGTGCTTGTTTGACTGAGAAACACATGAGTAGTAAGTAAGACATGATTAATGCATGCACTAAGATAGAAAGGTGATGGTTGATGCTATGTAATAATTAATTTTTAACAGCAATTAGTAATGTATCAATTAGTCAATTTGAGCCTTTTAAGGGTTAGTGCAAGCTAGAACAATTTGTCATCATTAATCAGTCTTTAACCATATTGATTGTTGAAAATGCTATTAATTTAGAAATTCTAACAGTTTAGGCTCTGAAAGTTGTTATATTTCTATATTGTTTATCTCTCTGTTACTATAATAATTGGATTGCCAATTAATTTAAGAATAGAGTTTTCAAACAAATTTAAGAAATGTGCCCCTAGGACTAAGACTTCTATCTTTATTTAATATGCAGATTTGAACTAATTGTATATATTTGATTCTCTGTAGGGTATGAGATTGTTCCAACTAGTCCAGGTCTACTACGACAACCAAGTTACGCTTTAGATTCATTCCAAAGATCTACTTATAAAGTTCCAGTACAACCTGATCGTCTAAAACTGGCTACAACACGGTATGGTAGTAATAACAATAAATATGTACCAGTATATGGCACAAGTAAGTCTAGTAAACATTTTATCTTAGTATGTTGATAATATTGTAATTTATCTTTTTGACTGTTGACACAAATGATTGTTTAGGTCATTGACAGGTTACCTTGTAGTGATAAGAGAACAAACAAGGAAACAAAGTCATTAAAAGTACAGATAAACAATTGAGTTTGTTTTGATATCTCTTAATTTATATTCTTTACATGTGGTATATACAAACATTATTTAGCACAACACTACAGTTCATGTAATTTGAAAGGGGGACCATGATGGTTGTGTATTTAGGGCATTAGCTGGGGGTCTAATGAGCATTGTTAGCATATAAGGATCTCCAGGGGGTGAAGTCACCAAATTCTTTTAGGATTTTGAACCGATTTTGTTGTTAAAATTGTTTACAATTCCATCCCTAGCCATCAGTAGAAACATCCTTTCAGAGTTAAGCTAGTGTAGAACCCGTGGAAATGATTCTATTTTAATTTAAGTGTGTTTTGCAATTTACAATAATATTTTAGGGTGTTTTTTTTAACATTGATATTTGATTTTAACTTGACCCTGCATTCCTCATCGATCAGTGATAAATAGATGAATATATGACTTGATTATTTTTTTGTTGTTTTTTCTTCAGTTCCTCAAGCTAATGGTAATACAACATATGGTAATAAAGTGACTACATATGATAGATATTATAATCATAATGACTCGGCACCATATTCTGATAAAGGTTATCTTAATGATATACGACACAGATATGGTAGGTATTTTTACCTGTAATTGATAATTAAATATCTCGTTAAGGTAGTACTTTATGTAATAATATGTAGTAGTGTACTAGTGTTGTGGGAGGGGGTTGTAATGATTGTCCCTCTGATTCTATGAAATGGATTGTGTACAGAATAATTAATCTTATAAATCAATTGCTTATATAACATAGCTACAACCTACTGCAGGTTCAACCTATTGTTTTGTAATCAGCTTTGTTTTAACTGGGGATAATTTTTCAGATATTATAATTTCTTCTAATGATTTGGCCTATCATGGTATAAGCATAATTTCTAAATTTATCATTGTGTGCTTTGATTGTCACATTAGGGATCAAGGCAGTTTAGCCAATGCGGCTGTTTAAATCACACCAAGACATCTTTCACTGATCTGTGTATAAACTCACTCATAATCTACTTAAAGATATATTAGTTAAGAGTTTAATAAAGAGTTGGCCATTCTTGCTATGATAATCCAAAAATAGATGATAAAAAAAGAAAATATTGAAAATTTCAGTCAAATTACTTTATTCTGAACGTAGTTGTCACTGTTGGAAATTCGGACTAGAAATAGGCATCAACTGTGTCTGCACCGTCTACGAGAATTGTCAACCATTTGATTGACAGACGATAACTCCACCCACATATTCTCGATTATCAAGTAACATTCTCAATGGCTATAGTACCCTCGCCTTGTAGGCCTTTCATCACCAGCTTCCGGTAGTGACGTCAGTGACTAATGGCAAACGTTGGCTTGGTCGACCATTTCTTGATTTAATTTCAAATGGACGACTGTTTAAATCCAAGCTGTATCCAAACCATCCGTGGGTCTACAGAGTTGATTTTTGGCTTGTCATGTAAATAAAGGTCTAATTAATCATTCGTATAACATCTGAAGCCTAAATAAAGACTTGCAAAAGGCAGATTTAGGCAGATTTAGACAGATTTAGCTCTTGCATAATGTATGTTTAATATTATGCTATATAATTTGTAATTTAGAAAATCAGAAACGTAAAGACGAAACAAATAGAATTTTAGTTTGATCTGTTTAAATGTACACAATTAGCACACTACCAGTTTACATTGATAAAAAAAAGTCTGATGTTTATAGTAAAATATAGTATAAAATATAAAAACATCAAGGTTTGTAACGTTATGGTTTGTCAATATACTCGAACCAATCACAAATGATAAACACATATTATTATCTAATCTTTAATATAAAATTTTGCCTAGCTAGTGAGAAAGATATAAATAATCATTTGGACCATTTAACTTAATTAAATGCGACAGCACATTGAGTAAGATAGCACATTGAGTTAGACGCTGGCTTGCTAATCAGAATTTTCCCGCATGGTTTCCCCATTGTCAGTGGTGCAGGATGGAGGGCTGGGCATGTAACCATGTATAGTTCTTCAGATCAGACAAAAGACAGAGATCCCATGATAATATTGATTACATTAAAATAACTTACCCCAAAAATTTAACTTACTTTATTCCCCAAACAAGTAACTTATTAAAACATTATGAATTAATTCTTGTGAATGGATTTTAATATTTTAGGTATGAATGGAACTTATGAACCTGTATCACCTGCTACACCTATTTCATCTGGTGGTATGAGAAAGATGAGATCAATGGTTCCATCTGCTACTCCAGTAACTTGTTTTACACCACAACCAGTAGTTTATTAAAAGAGAAGAATTCATGAAATAAATGAAAATTATGTAATTTATACTCCCAAGTTAAGACTGTGAATTTTAATATGAGAACGTCATAGTTCAGTTCTGGACTTCTGGCATATGTTGAAATTTCCGTCCCCATTCAAGCATTCCTGAATAAAAAGATTGTTTTAAAATAATATTTGTTCAAAAGATCTGTGATAAACTTTTAACACCTTTATTTATATTAAGCCAAAATATATTAATAAGGATTTTTTAATGTTATATTTAGATTATTAATGTATTTGTATTGTACATTAATATTTTATATTTAAATTATTGTATAACTTATTGTATTCTTACTTATAGTCCTACTGAGCCTTTGTACTGGAAGCTTTATTCATATTATCGCTTTAGAGTTTATCAGATTATGGTTTTGGTCTATAGGTCATTAGGGCTTTTATCACAGAAAAGTCTAGTCATTTGCATGGAAAAAAATCAGTTATGAATTATGAATATCTAGTTGGAATATTGCAGGGTGCATTGACTGACATGTTTACTTTGTTAAAATTTGCCCACCCATTGTTTAGGTAGTTTATTAAAACTTCTCAAAGTAACTGATCAAAAATAGGTTCAGTTCCATTCATTTATTATTGACAAAGCCCCACCTCCCCCTTTAATTGTTGGGTAAAATGTTTCGATGGACCACTGGCTGAATCCACGAAAATGAATTAAAGTTACAATTTCATATTTTCTAAGAAAGTCAAAACATAATTATTTCTATGTCTTTTGCTCAATAGGTTGTCAAATCGCTATTATACGATCATAGGTTATCTTTCTCCCACTTTAAAATCTTCACACCAGAAATAATAACACAATTACCTCCCTTGTTTTCCTATTCCCCACCATGGAATAGCTATCTTCAAACGTTTGAATTTGAAGTTGAAAATGATATTTTTGCCAATTTCTCAACTGGCAATAGTAAATTATAGGATAAATAGGATTATTCTTTAACAAGGTACATGTAGGACTGTTTATAGATACCATCTATTTTAGGGCTTTATTTTAATACATTTTAAAAATATAACTTAAAAATATGAAATTGTAACTTTAATGTTAAACAATACATTTTTAGCATAGGTTAAAGATGTAAAGAATTAAATTTTGTACGAAAAATGCAAATATATGCTGAACACCTGCCTTAACAGTATTTACTCTGAAACAGAATCACCTCTCGCTCTTCTTCCTATATGTGTATATTGTGTGTCTTTCCAATATTAAAACTGCCCAAACAAACCACATTCCATTTCCCCTATTTTGATAAAGGTATTTCCCAATGATTATTTTCATACATTATTATAACTAGTTTTTCAGCATCAAATTTTTTAAAAATGAAAATATAAACATCCAGAATTAATGATGTTTGTGTGTTTTATACATTACTTACTAATAATAGATCAATTTGCAATTCCTTCCCCAAAATATTTTTTTTTGTCGATGTTGATTTGTAAAAAATAATGAGAGAAACTTTAAGTCAATGTAGCTGAATAGGTTGATGTATCTAATGTTTCCTTAATCTAGTCTTATATGATATATTTGCCAAACAAGCTTTTAAATTTGTGAATTGAGAGATACATGTATTTGTTTCAATAATTACTAGTGGGGGTTTTCTAACACAATATTACATACTTTAATCAGTAAAATAATAATTATGAAATGTATACATGTACATTATTTATTGTGCTTTGATATATTGTAAACAAATCTCATGTGTTATTAGATTTGACCCATGAAAAACTGACAATATAAAGTTGGTTCGTAAAATGCATTTCAAAGATGATTAGCCATTATAAGATCCAATCCTTGTTACATTATGATTTATTGACATGATGTATTTTAGAATAATTGATCTAAGTAAAACGTATTACTTGTACCAAACATGATCTGCCCATTATGTGTTAAAACAGAGGAGTAAGTTACATTACAGATACCAAATGTCTATTCTTTTTCTTACACCCATGAATAAGACCTTGGTTGTGTCCTATGAGATGAGTTTGATGTTGTTTGTTATTTTTGGTTAATTGTTGAATTGCAATCTGTGATAAGACACTGGAACTTTTAAATTTTTCTATCTTCTATTAGTCTGTTATAGTAGTTTTTGAGGATTAGTGTTTGTATATTTGTCATAACAATAAATTTTATTTGCAGAACTTTTTAATTGTTATACACCCATATTGAAATGTGGTTATATATTGCCATCCACCCTATCAATCTTCAATCTTGGGCCCACAGTTGCCTGTGGATGCTCTAGATGTCAAAGTTATCACCTGATGACTAGAAATGTATACAGAATACAGAGACAAAGAAGCCTTTTGATTTCCTATAACTTGAACAGCCATGATCTTGTGATTAAAAGTACATGTTTTGTATAATATTAGCACTTGCAAGAACAAGACACCATTCAAATTTTTGATAATAAATGATAATTACTTCATGGACTGTTTAGTCACTGTTTTGTAAATGCTGCAATTATCTACAGTAGAATAACTATGTGACAACCTATGAGGATTTAAATGCTGAGAGCATATGTGTTGACGCCTGGTAGCATATTTTTAGTTTTATAGTGATAGATGAAAGAAAAATAAATCCGGAAAGTAACTAATATTACAGTTATGAAACCATCTTCCAAATGGGTATAGGATATGATAGGCTTATTTTATCCCCGGTTGGTCTCTTTTCTGCATTGCATTTAGATAAGAAACCTCTTCACTCAACCCTCCGTGTTTCGAGATAAGAGATGGTACTATATAGATCCAACTGTCACCTTAATTCTAATCAAACCAGGCTTCAAATAAGCAAAACTGACAATTTTTTCTTCAAAACAATAATTGTTATTTAAAACATTTCTCCTACACCCAACTACAATTAAGCAAATAATCCTAACCGTCGCGCACAATAATGATCTCTGTTAAATCGAAGCGATAATAGCTTGCTTTCCCCGGCATTTAAATTTGACATCTTTACATCATGGAGGCGGGGCTAAAAATATGCCATGTACAACAGCCAATCCAAATACGCTTAAAGTAGTATACCCTTTATAGGTCACAAGAATTTGGCCTTGTCAACACCGCTTCACAACTTTACAGATAAACGAAAGTTGTTTCACTCAATTGAACTGGGTATTTTTATTTAACTAGTCCTATAATGTTACATGCATTAATACAGAAATTAAATTTGTCGGGTGAAACTAACGGCATCCAATCGAAGCTAAAAAAAACCCAAGCACATTAGTATATCTCTGCGTTTTTAGCGACTTTCTTGTAGCTACATTACGGTAAATTTCAAGAATTGGCCATTGTTATACACATCATTGCAGCCATTTCATATTTCATTCTCTTCATTTGTAAAATTACCAATTCAATCAAAGTAGGGATGTGGATATTACCAGCATTGGCGTTGCTCTTGTTTACCATACACTTTGTAAGCCCAACCACAATGTCTAATATCTCTATAATTCAATCTTTGAAAAAGATCGAGTTTCATCTTTCTGTTAGTAAAATCTTGATAATACGGTCGTGTGGGCTAATTATGTCACAAAGACGAACCATGTCGAAATTCAAACAGACATTCCATATATAAGAACACCAAATACCGCACTGCAATCTATGGACGAAAAAGTTAGAACTGTTTGCCATGCACTGTCTACCAAAAACCTCTCCCCCAAAACAGTACCTGCAACGGACCAAGAAATGTTAAACAGGTACAGACCGAAAAGTAAAATATATTACGAGATATGTGTTGCTAATGGCCATTGGCGAATTTTTTAGCTGACTCTGTCCTAGCAAATTTAGTGGAGAGCGATCCGTTTGTTCAGTAGCTGATAAACACTAAACCTAAAGAGGAACTTATTTAGGTACACGATCGCGAGCTGCAGTGGGATTGGTACACGATAGCGAGCTGCAGTGGGGTTGTTACTAGTATAATATATAGTTCCACGAACCCCTTTCTGTTTCCATTGATGTTTGAATCTGTAGTATTAGCTACTATCCGTGGGGAGGTGACGAAACTAATTTAGCATGTCCATCTACAGCTTTAAAACTAGACCATGATTTACAGAAAATAGCTAATACTGTAAATAAGAAAAAAAAACACCATACAAGGATAATAAGCTGAAATTGAATGCTCTAGGAACTTTAGCATTCTGAAATGAAATGGGGTTGAACGCCCTATTATTCTGCTCTGACTGGGCTAATGAAAACAGTTTTAACATTCTAATTGATACACAATAGCAAGAACTAACTAGTGCGAACCCCCCGCGGCTATTGACAATGCAGTGGTCTTTTACCCGAGAGCTGAACTATGTTTCATTTTATTACTATATCATCATATTCATATAAGATTTATTCTGTGTAAATTTCATTGGACATTCGTGAAACTTGTCCCTTGGTTAAGTCAAAAGTGGTCTTTAGAGATCATAAGGTATGGTGTCATAGAGTTAAGTGGCGTGGTTTCCAATACAAGCTTGTACGTAAACAAAGTCTAGTGTTTGTCTGTCCAGTCTCACGAATTATTGAAATAAAACTGTATCATATGTTAATCCCAAAATTACCTAGTTTGTCTCGAGTGGACCTTAATCCTTATTTCTCTCTCAAGTCAAAATCATCCTTGATGACGACTGAATGGAATATATAAACATTGTAAAGATGACCAAACATATGCGTCACCAGATGTTCGTCCCAAAGCGGACATTAAACCCAACTTCTTTTCTCTCTCGCAAGTCTAAATCATCCTTGCTAATGATTAATTGGAATATATTAAATTTGTAAAGATGTCCATACATATTCTTCATTGGGAGTATTGATCAACGGAACATTTTATCCCAATTTTTGATGTTTTTAATTTATGCTTTTTTTTTTTACTATGTCTGTACTGGTCATTTTTATTTTTTATTTTGTTAGTAGGAAGGTTGCTAGTTGTAGGTAACATTCAACTTTGGCCATAATCCCTGCCAAGAACGAACTATAGCCTCTCACACTTTGGTTTTCATTAAAGTTGAGTATCTGGCCAGTACGAAGATATCATTGGCAGTAAAAACTTAAAACTGTGTGTAGGAAGAGCCTGCCCAAATCGATTATTGTCCGTATAACAGATCATACAAATTTACTTCCAAATTAGCCCGTTTTTTTTGAGTATTTTTCTATTAGAAAATATTTTCCAATTTGCCAGGTTAGTATCAACTGAATCAACCTATTATATTGTGGGGATGTATCTGGGTACTGACCCATCTCACCGAAAAAATTTGGTCCAAATCCCCAACCCAAAGGGTTATCACCCTCTGCATGGTGCTCTCGCGGATACGCTCTTAAACTTTTAATTTACTGTCAAAATTTCATGTATTTATATATTTTATCGATATTTCCAGATTTTCTGTCATTTGCATAATTTTTTCATAAAGCTACCTTCGAACTATAATTTAGTATTAATTTCAGAAATATTGGATGTGTGGCTTATAACTTTTAGACAATACATTTAAATGGGAGTATAAGACTCATCTTGATATCAATTACGTTATAACAATATGAAATAATGTAGAATTCAAATCAAATTATGGCATATCAACTTAACTTTTCCATTAATTGTTATAAACCAGATGTAGCACTATAAGTCATAACTAATTCGAATTTAATTGGCCTGTTCCATACCCTGAGGGAGCCACAGTGGCTTAGTGTGTAAGACGTTGGCTCAATCACCAAGAGGTCTAGTGTTCTATCCTGGTGTGGCCGAGAAAATTCATCTGGATTTTCTGACACGGTTCCCTCTTGCAGGAGAGAGGACCTGGTAAGGGACAATGCATAGTTGTTAGAATGGGACGACAAACCGGGGCCTCATGCACAAATTGGCATGCACGTCAAAGAACCCTTGGCAGTTTGAATTCTATATAACTGTAGGTCGTAGCTCCGGTGTCCGGGAAAACTATGACCGTCTTAATTAGCCGAGTCGGAGGATAACAGTAGGACATAACAACCCATTTTATTCATTCATTCCATACTCTTACGTACTCAAAATATATAACATAACAAGCCAACAGTGAGGCTGATGTCCCCCGCCGAAATAGGAAAATAATTAGAGGACACATATAAATTTATCACAAATAAGCGGAACGGACAGACAGACAAACAGACAGACGGACGAACCCATTTTAATAGTTCCCTGCTTTCTTCGAAAGGGGGACAATCAAAGTAGGAGAGTTATTGTTTTCCAAAGTCTCGACCAATCAAATTGCGTATCGCTCTGCTTACCCTGAGCAGAAAATGCTCATTATCAAACTTAGTCAAGGTATTACTGTAATGAAACTATACACCAAGTTTCATCAATCTCACTTAATTAGAACTAAAGTTATCGTGTCCCAAAGCATCAACCAATCAAATTGCTTATCTCTGCTTACCCTAAGCGGAAAATGCTCATCTTCGAACTCCATCAAGGCATTGACCTAATCAACACATACACCAAGTTTGAACATTCTAGCTCAATTAGGAAGAGAGTTATCGTGCCCCAAAGTATCAACCAATCAAATTGCTTATCTCTGCTTACCCTAAGCGGAAAATGCTCATCTTCGAACTCCATCAAGGCATTGACCTAATAAACACATACACCAAGTTTGAACATTCTAGCTCAATTAAAAGTTATCGTGTCCCAAAGCATCAACCAATCAAATTGCTTATCTCTGCTTACCCTAAGCGGAAAATGCTCATCTTCGAACTCCATCAAGGCATTGACCTAATCAACACATACACCAAGTTTGAACATTCTAGCCCAATTAGGAAGAGAGTTATCGTGTCCCAAAGCATCAACCAATCAAATTGCTTATCTCTGCTTACCCTAAGCGGAAAATGCTCATCTTCGAACTCCATCAAGGCATTGACCTAATAAACACATACACCAAGTTTGAACATTCTAGCTCAATTAGGAAGAGAGTTATTGTGTCCCAAAAAGTGTGACGGACAGACAGACAGACAGACAGACGGACGAACCCATTTTAATAGTCCCCTGCTTTCTTCGAAAGGCGGGGGACAATAATCATAAAACCACCCAGTGTAATCAAGATCTTTTATTTATTGACCTATAATTACATTTATCACTTTAACAATATAAACTTTAAACTAAACAACAAAACTGGTAGCTTCAAACTAAATGATTAAGATACATTTAATTCAAAACAACGTTGGACATAAAATTATTTAACAAAGTCAGTGTTCAACTTGCTGTCTATTTTAGAGAAACAGATTGTTGATTCATTTCCGCCAACAACTAAAAACTGTCACCACGTTTAATCGTCTTCACAGCCAATTTCTTTGGTACGAGCTGATGATGGAAAGATCTTATAGAATGATTCGTATTCTGCGGGAATAAGTCCGGATTTGAGAAGGCTGAGCAAATCTTTTTTGCTAACAAAAATT